ACAATGTTATTTCTGTATTTAATTATAATTTTACGCGATGTTTAATTAAAAAGGTTACAATTTAAAATAATGATAAAACGTGTGCTTTTAAAGGATCCTTATTTACCCAATGTACGAGTAATTCAGTATCCATCATTTAAATAAACATTAAAATAATGAAAATAAATGGGATTTTATTTCAATTACAAAAAACACACAAAAAAGTAATTATTTACATTGAGTATTTACCTTTAAACTACTACGATGTTATAAATTCCATAAAATATTCAATCGAGCCATTGTACGATATCATAGAAATTGCCTAATATTGGGTTAAGTATGATAATAAATGGAAGTTTAAAGAAAATTGGACCATTGCGAAGATAAGATTAGTTTAATGGTTAGCCTAGAGTTAAACAAGCTGACTCGGAAATAGACAAACGTTAAACAGGAAAAGCAGAAAGATCGTATTGCTAGTTACTTTAGAAAAAGCAAAAAGTCTATTACAAGATATATTATTCAACAGAAAACTTCATTATGGTGTTAAGAGAAAATGGATCGAGTTAAACCCTTAACGAAAGGAATTTGTCATGTAACAAACTGTCCATTTATTGAATAATTTAAGAATCCGTCTGCTTAGACGATATTAGTTTCGATAAAGCAAAGTAACCAAAAACAGGATAATCCTGCCATGTAATAATGTTAAAGTATTATGCATATGAGCTCAAGCTATTGTTGTTGGAAAAATAATACACCTCGAACTTCAACCCCATGATAATGTGATTCAAATGATAAAGTCTAAATGTGACACGAAACCAAAAATGAGATGACTAAAACGATGAGACATAAATTTAACAGTGCTACATCGAGTTATAATGGAAAATCCGTGACCGTCACAAGATAACAAAAACCATTCTTTCGGTGTAAATCCTACCAAGTCAGTGGCAATTATTTTTACTAAGCCACACCTTAGTATGCACCTAAATACTGAGCTTAAATTGATTGTGGGAGACAAATCAATTGAGCTCTATGAAAATACTAACGAGGTTTGAACAACATATAGAAAAATACAATTGTATAACGTGGATATGAAACAGAAGCAATTGAGCAACGTCTGATTCCAGGTTCAAGTAATGCAAGATGCATAAAAGATTGACGATTGTCAATCGTGTCACAAGCTTTCGAGTTGTCGAGTAACAGTGATTCCTCCAAAAATACTATCAACTATATGAATTAGGCAATACAAGTAAATCATACCATCAATCTTGACTGTCTTTCTCTGGAATCAGGGGCTATTAACTGGCTGGGTGTAAAATCATTCAATCCCAGCGTATTTTAAGTATGTTAAGGTATCAATCCATTTGGTAAAGTTTCGATAAATGACCAACCTTGATGCAGTAATTGATTATGTACCTACTTCAAATATGGAACGATATGAGGCAACACAGTACAACAATAATATTGAGACCATTATAACCTGATCCACTCTTAATGAATTGAAAGACAATCTCAATACTAAAAGCACTAATTGCTAGTCCAGTTGTTAACACAGAATTTAAAACAAATCTGTTACTTTTTGAGATTATTTCTTAAAATTTCGATTAGAATTTCGAAAAGAAGATTAGAAACAAAATTTGATCTTTAAAAGTGGAAAAATTTAATTTACAGGCAATTAATAAGACCTTATGCATCAAATCGTGCCTTTATTAGTAATTACAACTACTTTGAACAGGGCTACGATATATCAATCAAATTCGCTGTATCACACATTATTCTGGTGGAACATTTAATAGCTTAGGTACGATTTATAATTATAAACATCACGCAAGAAAGAGATGTATGAATTCCATCCAAAAATTAAAGACATCTTATAAATAGAACGAATAATTCAATATGTCGATAAATAATTCACAATACAAGAAATTACACGAAAATTCCTAGCGTCTTGGGAGTAATTCCTCTCCAAATAGAGAACGAGGAATGTTCTCTTCTGCTTTTGAACGTAAGAAAAGAGGAAGAGCAGAAAAAACGGAGAGTAATATGATCAACAAAGAAAACAAGTAGTATAGAATCTTCCACAAGTGAGAAAAGTACTGCAGTTGATATTGAGTCTTCGGCAGAAATTTGTATAGTACTTCTTTTGATTCCGATGACAAAAATGCAAAAATCTACCACCATCAAATGTGTGGAGTTCAATCATACTCCGACGAAAGCAAAAAGTTTCGAACCAACATAAGAAGTTTCCAAATAATTTTCCAGAGAGGTCACGAATTGAGAAAGAATCGTTCTAAAAGTGCGATCGTTGCACATTATAATGGAAAAATAGATATTGAATAGAAATTGAGAAGTTTTTATAAGAAAAACATTTTTAAAAATTACTACATTATAAAAATGTCCGTGACCATTTCTCGTAACTGGTTTACAATGTTTCTGAAAGCTTGACATCTTTCCAATGATACGGCATATTACCATGCAAATGACAGATTATATAAAAGAACTCGTTTTACGGGATATTCTGAAAGAATATTTCAGTTATAAATTATTTCGGGGGAACATCTACGTATTGATGAAACATTAATATCCATACTAAAATTTAAACAGTACATATTTGACATTAAGTTGTGCAAACTATGTCTTAAAAGGTTGCTATTTATATTTAATTAAAGTATATTGCGATAAACAAAAAGACGAATGAAAGAAATCTGAACAATACCTATAAATTCGAAACAGGATTCGGAGGAAACGGGATTCGTTCAACAATTAATGGGAATAGGACGTAATTTGCGAATTGATAACTGTTTGATGAAATTCATATCTATTTATAGTTAATTTGAGGACCACGTTTTGGAGTATTAAAACCTAAATCGGTTGTGTCACATAATACACACCAAATGTATACTGATAAATTAACTAAATGTATATTTTGTTTTAGTCGTTATTTCATAACATAATTCCATCTTATAGGTAAACGACGAATCATGCGGTGCCATATCACAAATAATAAAATAAGAAATCAAAAAAATCATGCTTTGATTGCAACAAATATAAAGATCTGCGTCCATCTGATCGAAGATGACGCTGCAAAACATGAATTTTGTAATAAGTTCATCAGTGTTCATTTAATATATTAATTTTTTATGTAAAATCACATATTGCAGAAAAAGGGTGTCAAATTAAAATGATTTTCCAAATTCAAATCGAGTTCGTTGGGATGTTGGGAAGTCACAACTCCTTAAGTTCTGATGTAAGAATTCCGAACGTTTGTGCAGACAGAATGCCTAATACAATCCGTGACGATTTGAATATTCACAAAGCATTATGAGTAAACACTTGATTCAAGTTTTTACACCATGTACGTTTAGAAATTTAACATTGAACGTTGTGAATTCATAAAAATGTATCGCTTTAAACTACTGTAAAGTTATCTGCCTGTACAAAACACCAAAAGTAGCCCACAACTTCGTTATTTTTAATGAAGTACTACGCATATTCTTCGTGCAAAAGTAAGTTGACTTTAATAACATTTTTAGGTGTTGAGTTATTTGATCTTATAATTTTTTTACCATTTCTCCTTTAACGCAGCGCTTCTTAGCTACGAAAGGCGAAAATTGAAAGTTGGTAATATTACCCTTTGATATGTTGTGAAACAAAATACTTTCTTTATCAAAAAATTAATGTAAAATCTTTTAAATCGAATACAAACACAAGATTTTGCCTTGAAAAATTTAAATGCGATATTAGATACAACGAACTTGATGGGATGCTCATGATATTTAATTCGTTACAACATATTAATTTTAGAATAAATTCAATGGATATAACCGATAATTCGTTCTATCCGGAGTTAAATGTACTTAGTTTTTGAGATAAACCAGTCGTATTTGGCTTTACGTTAAAGGTTTTTTTTTAGATTAAAGTTATTAAAGCTCAAACTGATATTAAAAATTAAAATTTCAACAACGTAATAATAAAGAGTCAAACGGACAATAAAAGATGTTTGTTAAACTTTCATGTTTGCGTACAAACAATCAAACAATTAATTAAAACGTGTCGAAATGTATTAGCTAAGTTAGAAGACTTGTTCCACGCATCGAGGAAGAAGAATTTCTTAAACGCACGTTCAAGCAGTCGATTACAATTTGTCTCATGCATGCTTTCACAAATAGTTTCCTAATGATTAACGTAATTACTAAATGAATTTTACTTTGAATCATTTTTGTTATGGTAACTCCTAATTTTTATCTGTGTAATTTTTATTTTACCATACTGCGTCGTAAAGTAAATGGACGATGTCGAAAAGCATGTTTACAATCGGACGTGACAAAAGTCCCTTATCTTATCGACACCCAATCAGGTGATTACTGAAATTTTTGTTGTAAAACTACGTCGCATATGCGTTTTTTTTTGAAGAAAATTATTTTAAATGTAAAACAATTTTAATTAGGTTAAATGATGTTGTTAAAATGAAACTGTGTCTTCAAGAGATTACAATAATCGTTTATCTACTCTTTACCTTGATCCAAAACGTCTTAAAAGGATTTATAATTATTATAGTAAATTACGTATTAATAGATTTTCCTTTTTAAGCATTATCTAATTTTCCAATAAAACTTAATATAGAACTAGAAAAATGTATTAAGGAAAAAAAAATGTATTATCTGTAAATTTATAAAAAAAAAATAAATGTTTTGATCTTAATCAATAACAAGGATGACCTCGTTTAAACGACAAAGTGTTCATTTTGGTAATGGAACCAAAATCATATAATCGTCTTGTTTACTCAGTCGCCGACATCGACAGTTTGAGTTTATACACATAGATATGGTTTCCTTCTTTATCTCTATAGATAAATCCAACTCGATTCAAAAAAAAATCGGCAACACATATGGATATAATAATCTCATAGTGTTTGGTAAATAAGCTTTTATCTGTATGAACTTAATAATGTATTGATTGAATATCGTGTTGGTATGACTACTTAAGTACAAAATAACTAAAAAAAAAAAAGAAATGTGACTTACCTCTGCGTAAGAAGTACGGTTAGGTGATTTTTGAAATTTTCTATTTGATCTCTGGGAAACGTGTCACTTTTCTCGATGAAGCGAATCAAAAACATAACTGCTGCTAAAATCTCCTCTTTCATGTTCGCTCGTTTTTCGCAAAATTTTACATCGGTACAAACGGGTCGGATGTAAACCGAAGTCGCAAGACTATCTGGAACAGAGGGGACAGTTGTCTGTCAATAAACTGACAAGAACGTGCCGCGCGGGGAAACGGTCTTGACAGCCGTCGAACCGATAGACAACGGAAACCATTCACATTCAAATCGACGCCTTTAAAAGCGCTAAATATACGCACTAGACACGACACGAAAACCGTCAACGTTTTAAAAACACTCTTATCTTTTTCACTATTTATTGCGTTAGTTTTCTTATGGTAAAATAAATCTGTGACAATGTGTTGTGTAAAATTGGGAAATCAATTAAAATATTTCATCAACTTGTCAAGGTATTATTTTATATCTACTACTCATAAAAAGCATTAAGCAGGTTTAACGAAAATAAATATTAATATTTAAGAATTAGAGACGGTAATAAACTTATAGATTTAAGATTATTTTAAAAGAACATAATATTTCTCATTATTTCACCAGACAATGTGGTATTTTCATCGATTACTCATCATATTTTTTTAGGTCACGAACCAAATGAAATGTACAATACCTACTTAACATAGATAAATTTAACAATCTTTATAAATAAAATGTAAATTTCTACTTTCAAATATTAGAAAATATAAATATGAACAACAAAAAGTGATTCAGTTAAATATGAAGAAACATAAAAATAATTATAATTGTAAGCGATGACTGGCACATTTTAAGGATTAAAACATATTTATGGACCCTAAAGTAGAAACGAACCAAAAACCAACACCAAAAGTTAAAAACAATAGAAACTTGTTAAATAACTCATATCAGATATAAAAGTGCTCAAATACTACAGTTTCGGTTTATGACGCCTTCCTGAAGTCTAATCGCAAAGAATTTATGGAGGATATTGTATTGGATATAAAATAGGTTTCATATAATAAAATTTTATGTTGGTTACCGCTTTTATCCTTCCGGTTATAAATTTAACAACTTAAATTTAAAAACTTCATCATTTCGACAGTCTACAGCTTGGCAAATCTGTGTTGGCAAGCTCATTTCTCTCTTATATTTCACGGAATGAAGATCGTATACAGTACTCAACAAAATTATTGAAAAATTTTTTATGGAAAATAAGATAATTTCTTAAGGTAAGAAATCTTTCTAAATTCTGATAAAGTAAACCTCGCAGAATAGTAATTGTAAAGATCTAAAAAAGGCATAATGATTGCTGGGACCAAACTTTATACTAAGGATGTATACTTTTAAACATAGTAAGGGCATATTAGAAGAGATCAAAATCCGTCTACATTATCAGAGTGTCGCCTGAGGTTGTAGACTTCGATGGCTTCACAAAATATCAAAATATCTGATATGTTTGAGCTGTTTTTAAAATCTTATCTCAAGAACGAATTGAGATATCATCATTTTCAAGCAAATTTGATGAAGATTTAATGCAAAGTAAATAATTTCTTATTTATTAAGAACCTGTATTGGGAACAGATGACATTGATCAAAATAAACGATCATCTGACAACAGACATGTCGATAAGAAGAGAAGTGCGTCCTTTCTCCACTATTATTCAATATACACTAAAAAAAATCTTTCAAAATGCCCGCCAAAATATTGAGGAAGGAATAAAACTCAACAGAGAATGAGTAAACAACTAAAGATACGCATTGTATTAATGACTCTTGAATGCAGTGACCAGGAAAGTAGATAGATACTTTAGGGTTAAAAATAAACACAAATAAAACAAAAGTAATGGCTGTGACACGTATGCCAAATCCCTGCATTAATATTTGTATCTACAACAAGCAGATAGAACTCGTACACAAATTCCAGTATCTAGGTTGCTGGATAGCAGACGATCTTGACCACACGGTTGAAGTACGAGCTTGTATAGAATATTTTAGATTCATATTTCAAAGAAGTAGGGACTATGAACAGTGGGTGAACAGTGAACGAAAAGTGGGTTTTCCGAAGAATGATGAAGATCTCCAATGATAAGGTGCTAAGAAGGATGGAAATTGACAAAGAACACTTAAATATGGTAAAAACCCGGAAGGGAAGTTATCTATATATTTATAAAGGGAAAAAGTACATCCTACGACGTATAATGGTAGGGAACGTGGAAAAAAAGGGCCCAGGAAGGAGAAAATGCTCGTGGTTGAAGAATGTAAGGGACTGGACAGGCATGGACTTGTTGGGGTACTAAATTTTTGGCACTATACCTACTACTGTCGCTGATGTCACAAGTTCGCCTATCTCACTTCAACGATTTAGTGTCGCATGCCATCTTCTGCACAACTGACCATCCAAGACATTGCCAAGCTGCACTTCGACTAATGAAACACATTGTTAGATAAACTTAAATCATTTCTAAAAATCGTGCAACTATTAATAACATAAAAAAATTAAATTCTGAAATGATTATAGGTTTTAAATATTGCGGAAAATGTGTGCATTTATGTGTTATAAATTAAAATCAGGCCAATCTTCTAAAAGTTCATTATAATGAATTTGTTACCTTAAAAGTTTAAGAACGCCCAACAAATTTTTTTGTAGAAACTTATCGTCATATTTAACTCTAATAAAGAAGACTAATAATAGGTATAACACGAGCATATTGCAAGTAAGTGTTCGTTAAGGGTTAAAAATAAATTCGACTCTGATTTCCATGTTTGAGATTTCCGAAATGCTCATTCAAACCGTTTCAATTACTAATTACAAATAATAACTCCACTTACTAACGAGGAAAGGTTAAGATACAATTATGAAAAGCAGAGTAAATGACAGCACCCTCATTTAGATTGATGACATAGATACATAGAAGCCATGTCATTGTCCCTTTTGGCAAAGGAAGGAGGTTACACCCCATTGACATAGCTTATAACAATAATAATATAGTGCAATCCACATTCATTGCGAATAATGCATTTGTATGTGTCTATGGGAAAGTAGACATTATGGTGTAATACAAAACTGCCCACTAAAGCGCAAATACCTCTTATTCAAGTGTAGGTCGGTTAAATTTGTAAAATGACAATAATCTATGGCGTTTCTAGCTGTAACAAAGTTCGCATCAGTCTTGATTTTTCATTGCTAAAATGCTACTGTTATATACCAATAGTACAACTTTTAATTAGATGAAGCTTTTCAAAAAATGAAAAAACCAACAACAAAGAAATAAATAGAAACGGGGGATTAACTATTGACACTATGAAATTATTGATATACATGTGTTCATTGCGTACAAAAAAATACAAAAAAAAGCTATTGGGAGGTCAATAGATATAAAAGAATTAAAATGTATCGCAAAAAAATTGAAATCTAATCTACAAAAGATAAGAAAATAAAACCTTTCAAAAAAGTAATTCCGGGTTTCCCAATGACATTTATATTTAATTTTTGATATTAACTTTGATCTAAATTACAACTCATTATTTATCTTGCTACAAAAAAAGATTGTATTATAATACAAATAAAATCCTCAATCAAGATAATAATACACACAGGGTGGAACGCTCAAATGATCTATCCTTGAAAATAATAATCTGGAAAAGTCTCTGCTAGCAACAATCTTGAACGTGATTTTTCATCTATCTTTTTTTATACGAATAGAAAATGTCGTAAACCTACAAATCGTTTTTTCCAAGTATTGTCGAATATCTAAGTAATAAGTAGTATTTGTAATCGATACAATTTTTACGTCATCATATTTCCCTTCCTTTATTACGGTAAATATGACAACATAGTTTTCCCTCAAATATGACTCGGCAGGAAATACATTTGAGTTAAAATTAAATACATTATCTATCAAACCATTTTTAATCGAAATGCAAACTAAATAATCTGGCTCAAAATAAATGCTACATTTATTTATTTTAGTTAGGTCTGCGCGGCTAATAGCTTGAGAAGTAAACCAGAAGAACGACGCGGCGATGAATGCGGAAACTGCAATGAACCAAAGAAATTAATTTGGTTGTAAAAGAACATATATCAAAAAATTTGGAAAAATATACTACAGAAAAGATAAAACATTATTATTCAGGAAATAGAAATGACTTTGACATTAAAAAACGTCAATGTACGAATTAAGGCAACATTGGAATTACAAATTTAATATTTACATTCATGAAGAGATATTTGAAAAATCATGTGGTGTGTTTGGTGTGAAATAATAACTTCGCGAAGGTCTTAGAAAATGAAGTCATGTTTGCTGAAGGTAAATTTTGTTACTCTCATACTTTTTCAAATGGCAAAGCATTAATTTAAATATCAAATATTTTTGATATTTAAGTTAATGTTTTGCCCCTACCCTGATTTCTGTGGAAGGCAAAACAAAAATATGAACATAATTAGATTATTAATATATTTAATTCAATGTACCAATTTGGAAAGAATAGATCCTAAATTCTTTGTATCATGATGTTCAAATTTTAGTAAGTTTCTATATTTGTGCAATGATGTGCAAATATTATCCATGACCATATTAAAAATCACAAAAACGATAATAATGAGAGGATTTTTTTTAAGATTTCTAAGACTTCTAATATTTTTAAGATTTTAAAGAATCTGTACTCATAAAAAATATTCCTGAATCAAAGCAACAATCAATGAAGTGACTTGAAGAAGAATCATAAATCAGGTTTGTTCTTAACATTTGAGAGTCGTTGTAACACAATCTAATTCCTAATTCAAAAATATTTCAACCCTAACTACATAGCCTAACTATAAATAACGAATACACATCTCAACCCGATATGATTATTTTGGAAAATGTAACCCTATCATCTAGAAATGAGGACAAAAGTATCCAAAGAATAAAATGAGCTGGAATCAAACATCAACATCGACAATCCAAAATAGCCTCAAACCAGTACACAAACGTTATAATTTCGAACATTAGTCAATCTCATCTCAATTAAGTCAATCTTGAATCTAAGAATGTCTAAATATAATCGTAGAAACAATTCATAAATAACTCATTACGATCTCAAGCTTATCAGAAAACAAATAATACTCAACATAACTAGAATTGTTAAGATCCTTATGTCTCAACCCGACGTGATTGTTTTGCATTGTAATCGTATCTTGAAATAAACCATTTCAAACGATAAGAGCATGTGAAATCAACGTTATAGTGAATACAAGAAAGCCTCAGATCGTCAACCGAAGAATACCGCAATTCAGAATTTCGATATTTCAAATTAACATCATCCTAAACCTCATTGTGATTGCATTCTTTTATATAAAACCTCATCCAACCCCAAATCGTTCAATGTATAAGAATGTCCTAATCCAACTTTTGATAATTGTTATGATTTCCATGTCTCAACCCTATTTAACTGCTTTGTATATCTTGCATATTCTTATCTTGAAATGAATCAGTTCTCACAATAATAGCCGAAATCAACACCAGTCTCAATTCAAGAAAGTCTGAAACCAATGTCAGTCAAACCAATTTTCGTAACCGAAAAATGTCGTAATTCGTATCAAGTCAGTTAATATCAGAGGATGATGAAGCAAAAAAACAAAACGTAATCTTAAATAAGTATCAGCACCTTACACGACCTCTAAAACCCATTTTTCAATGACGGTTCTTCAACAAACCGATTCATTTACAATTCAAAAATGTTTCAATTTAATCTCATCATCAAATAAAAAAGTCGTAAATAAGCATTCTTCTTTTCAATCCATTTCGGCATTCTTCTCTTGAATTTTTGGTTTGTTTTCAGTTTCTTTGGCAGAAACATACAATTCCTTCATTTTTTCCAATTCTGTTTTTAATGGAATCTTAACCGTCTTATTTTTGGACTGATTTCAGAGATTTTCGCTTTCTTTTTTTTATTTCCTTTTTAATCGTTTACATTTTTGTTGCATCTGTCGAATTCTTGGTTTGTTTTTAGTCTCTTCCAGCCTCTCACCCTTATGCTAAATAAAGCTTTGACAGAAAGATAAAAACATTTTGTTTTTCCCGCTTTATTTCTCTTTGCATTCATTTTTCAAAAAAAAATCAATAAATCATAAAATCTTTTCTCACTCATTGCTTACGATGAACACGAAAAAAAAGTCGATCTTCACAAATGCAACTTATTTTATCGTTGTTGATCTACCAAGTATTTTTTTTTATTGCTTCGTTTTCATAACGATAACGCAATCATAAATAAATTTTAAATTGGTCCTCCTGGAAAATGTTTGCGTAAATATGTCTCGAGAAATACGGCTTAACTCAATATAAAATCATTTGTGAAAAATATATTTATAAATAAATCAGCCAAAAATCTTAATTAGGAGTTAAATCGTGTCAAATTTATTAAAATTTGAATCTCCAACATTTTTAAACTTTACATTAATGTTCATAATCGATTTATTTTTTCACCGCAACTTATAAGATCTAATAGGCCTGCTTTGGTTCAAAAGTTTTCTAGTTTCGAACAGTTCTGAACTACAAAACTCTTGAACTCAAACTGGCCTATTGTAACTTATGCTCACCAAAGGTTTAGGGCAGATCTAGGTCCTTGATGAATCGTAGTATTACTCCAAAACCTTGTTCCTTTATGTCAGTAGGTGTCTGACAAACCTTTACGAAAATTATGTTTTAGGCGATCTCTGGCGACGCAGTCACACGGAATACGTTCAGCAGTCTCTGACTTGTCATTGCAAAATAGACTAGTTTGATCCCCAGCGTGTCCAAAGTTGAAGAGATGGTAATTTAGGGACTTGTAGCCTGAGGCATAAAACTTCTTTGGTTTTCTTTTGCGAAGGAGTTATGTTACTCTTCGCTTGTTTGGAAGTCCTGGAAGCCTGTTCCATTTAGAGTATAAATTCAAAATATTTGTGATTATTTTTTGGTTAATATTTTCAAAATTACAGCTTTAAACGCTGTTACTGGTCAATTTCTAGATTTATGTGATAAATTCAATAAGATAATAAAAGTGGCCCTTAATCAATTAATCAACTTAATTGACTTACCCCGTGCGTTCAATATTGATTTATTATTTAACATTTAAAAGAATTATAAATAAACAATATTTTATAAATACAATGAAGTGTAATTTGAGGAAGCCTTTGTTTGATAATACATACGTGAGGACTTACATACAAAATTTACTCAAAAGACTAGTGCAAATGACCTCGTAGTTAAGTACTGTTTAAATAATACGAAACGATTGTTCACAAAAGAAAACCTTAAACGAATATGAATAAACAAAATAAGACAAACAAAACGAAAAGTTGTTTTTTTTTGTTTTTGAGACAAATATATGTTTATCATAGCCAAGTTATCTTCATGATTATACGAGATATAAACCAAGAACATTACAGCTACTTATTTAGGAATCGAATGACGTAAAACGAGAGAGAAAAATAACACACAAAAAATACAGAAACGAATGGTGAACACGCACCAAAAATACCAACACAACGAACAGATGTGGGACCACAACAAAGAGTGCGGACTGCGTGTCGAACGAACGAACGGATGAAGAACACGTATGCAAACACACCACTTCACCGGATATTTTTCATTAATAATTCAAAAAGAAAGAAGAAACAAAAAGTAAACTGATCACCCCCTAAAAAGAACACAAACATAACAAAGTTTTTTTAACACAAAAATATGCTTAGTCATCACGATATAACACAATAATAATTAATAATAATTAAGTATTTGATAGAAAAGTAAACGCAAAATGAAACACAAACCACGACTTCGTTCTCAATACGGTGTTTTGAGTGCTTAAAACGGACGACGACGACGACGACGACAAACAAAGCATATTGGCAGCAACCTGGTTTTATAATTTGTTAATAAATGCACCGGATACGCGTTAAAAAACGTCGATTTGATGGTTTCTTTTAATTTCTTTTTAATAATTGTGTTACTAACCGTTGTCGTCTCGTACGGATTTCGGATCGGACACAACACACTTAACTGAACATCGAAAACACAACAACTGATCGAGAGCGTTCGTTTCGTGCTACGACACACCGAACTAAACGAAACGAATGATGGCGCATATCGGAAATGAGTCACCGCGACGGGAGAAATCATCTGTTTTTGCGCGGCAAATTCAAACTTACCAATGTGAAGTTGTGTTATTTTTAAAACGAATTCGTATGATTTTCGATAAAATTAAACTTTGATTCAATTCGTTTTCGTAAAAATAATAAAAAATTTTGTTATCTTAACGTTAACGTCAATTAAATTGTGCTAATTAAACGTTTTTAACGTTAAATTTAACCTATAATAAAGTTGTTATCGAAATATACATGTTCGATTGGATTTTTTTTTTAAATATATTTTATTGGGTAAAAGGAAAAATAAAAAATAATTGTTAATAATCGATGTAAAAGTTTGTTTCAATTATTTATTTTTTAGAATTACAAAAAATTGTTTTTCTGGACGTTTATATTGGTAGGTAATGAAAATAATTTTAAAATTCGTGTTTTTGCTAGATTTTCATTTAAATTGAAAAGGTTTTTACTTATTAAAACGTACAAACAATCTTTAAACATTATTTTTATTAACAAAAAGTATTATAAAAAATGTTATTCTACTAAGTACGTTCTAAATCTTTATTAATAATAATTCAAAAAATATTTTGAAATATCTCATATTTGTTAACTTATTTTCAGAATGTATTACATGTATACAAACAGTATATAGCTTAGTAGCACAATGTAACAAAATTAGTTTAAAGTCCCCATATTTAGCAGATAAAAGTAAATATTTTTGCTTTAATTCTAATAGTTATAATGAAAACATGGGGGAATGTTGTTTCCTTTATGTGGGGGGTTTGTTTACATTCTGCTCCAGCGAGGGTACATTGTAATAGATGTAGTTTAATACATAAATACTTTCGAAAATTAACTTTATTTAGATTAAGTCCGGGATAGTTAGACAATATTTTTTAAAGACTTTTTCCGAATCTTTGAATGTCTAGACTTTGGAATTCATTTTTATACACAGTGTACATAAAGTATGAAACCAATTCGATATATTAGACCCAATCGCCGATTTCGGACAAGTGCCGAAATAATCGAGCATTTCGCGAATGTTCAAATGCGAAATAGAACTGAATTTCGGCATTTGAGAAGGCGATTTTGAGCAAAACGCAGATTGAATAGTTTAATTCTGCACAATCGCCGATTGTACAGCTCCTGTTTGATCAAAAGCCGATCTTAATAAGGTTGAAATCAATTTTATGTCTGTTAGTATAGGTATACGAATGTGCAACATGGCATTAACAACACAATACAAAATCACTTTTATTAAAAAAAATAAGAGCAGCTTTTACATGTTAACAGTAAACCAAACTTTTCAAAAAATAAACCACATTGTTACAAAAATATAAAAGTAGAACAACAATATCTTAATTACACTAGTTTACAAGAAAAATCTCGAAGACTGTGATATTTTTTTATAACATAGAATGTTGTGCTGATTCTGAAACTGTCTTCAGTTCTTCTCCATCACGTCCAGTTTTTGAGATATACCCAAAAATGTGGAAAATCGTAAATTAAAAAACATAGTAACGGTTCATGTTCAGGATATTTTTTATTTTGCATAGTGTGCTTCTATAGCTATATGGACATGAAAGTAGAGACCCAGACGAACATTTTGAGGTATTGGTGGCATAAATCGGACCCTCCGTTATTTTGCTACAGCCTAAAACAACTCAGCAAAATCAAATTTTTTGGCATTTTTCCAATTTTTTTATCACTTAATAGCACCGTAACAAAAAAGAATTATATATGATAAAAAATGTTAGCTATTTTATCTTGTAAAACATTTAATTTTTTAAATTTCTAAGCATTGGACACCATGGTCGAACGTATTTTACCGGAGATATCGTTAATTTACGACAATCGTGCAAAATTTCATTTTTTGCCATTTTTACTGTATTGTTGAAACATTATTACGGATCAATTTTTTTTAGTAAAGAGGTATTTTAACTGTTCCAGGCACTAAGTATAAACATTAAATTCACTGAAATCAATATTATTTTACCTGTTCTAAATATTGAACATTAAGCATATCTAGTAATTAAAAATTATTGGCTATCGTTGCTAAATGACATTTCTCCACTGTCACTTTTACTCTTATAACCAACTTATAACTTTTTTTTACTCTTTTCTGAATTGTATTAATCGTCAAGACACAATCAATTTTTTTAATTCCTACCATTTTTTGATCGTAATGACCCCCGGAATATATGGTATAAGTTTGTCGGTCGAGTCACGGAACACCCTGTATACTACTTTACTTGTTGTTGGTATAGTATTTATTATTATTGTAGTACTTATTGTGCGGGATATGATTACTTTTCGACAATTTTTTGTATATCTATTCTTTCTGGGTCGATTTCTCTGATAACACTCCAGAGATAATCTCCCATCACCCCTGCATCTCAGTAACCTTGATAACGTCTTTCCAATGTCATTAAGTCTTGATGGAACCGCTTGCCTTGTTCGTCACTTTCCGCTCCAAGATTGCTTGGAAAAAATAATGGATGGAGAAAATAATATAAGCCATAATTGCATTTATGGCTTCGTAATTGTGCAATAAGTTGGAAATTATTTTGCAATAATTCTCATCCTTATGGTTTCCTAAAAATGGACGATTTGTTTGAAGTTAATCAACGGCGTTGCTTCTTTTGTTGTTAATGTTGACATGAATTAGTTGTCATTTATTAATTTTCTTATTTGAGGGCCAACAAATATGCCTTCTTTTAGTTTTGCGTGCGATAGTTGTGGAAACAGCTGGGTAGATATTTAAATGCTGGGCTTTCTGGATTCAACGCTTTCACAAAGTTTTTCATCAAATCCAGTTTGATGTGTAGTGGAGGCAATATTACAGATGCTGGTCTTACCAGTGGCTTATTTAAGACATTGAAAGCACCAGTATCGTAATATTCTCTAGAAGGCCAGTCTTTGCGCACATGATGATGCTCTCTCGCTCGGCTATCCCACAAACAAAGAAAACAGCAATATTTTGTAAAACCGCCTTGCAAGCCAGTAACCACAACAACTACCTGAAAATCATACAAACATAAGTCAATAGTTAAAAAGTAGATGTTAGTAAATTTCTTTACTGCGGCAATTACCTTTAAATCTGCACAAACTTTCCATTCAAATGCGTTATACTGAATTAGAGTCAAAACCTCTGATATGCGCACATATGTTTCTTTAACATTGACGGCATGAGCAAGTGGAATAGTTGGCAGTGTGTTTCCATTATAAAGTAAAGCTGCTTTAAGACTGTTTTTAGAGATATCGATAAAAAGACGCCATTCAGTTGGGTTATGATCTATTTTCAATTCATCAAACAGTCTCTGCACGTTATTACAATAACAAATACCTTGATCTTTCGTAAAAAATTGTACAAATGTTTCGCCTCTGTTTCGATAAACAGTTACACGGGTTGTAGGGTGTAAATAATTCCATTGCTGTAAGCGGGATGCCAATACCTCACTATCAATCTTCGACAACTTCAGATCTCTAGCTAAGTCACTTAGTTCTTTCTGTGACTGTTTATGGTTTATTTTGGCATCATAGTCGCTGCTAGATGACATATCTTCACTGTCTCCTTTACTCTGATCACTTTCACTGGATTGTATTAAACGCTCAGAAGGATTTGGTCTTGGTAAAGTTTAACTGTGCGGAATCGGCTATTTGGCTGATCTTACATTAGGATAAACCAAACTTTTCTTTGTTTTTTTGTTTATGCCGTCTAGGTTTCTGTTGCAGAAATAGCAATCGGAATCATCTGATATCTGTATATTGGAATACCAAACTGTAAATGAGATGTAGATTCACCCGCCATCCATCTANATTTCTTTACTGCGGCAATTACCTTTAAATCTGCACAAACTTTCCATTCAAATGCGTTATACTGAATTAGAGTCAAAACCTCTGATATGCGCACATATGTTTCTTTAACATTGACGGCATGAGCAAGTGGAATAGTTGGCAGTGTGTTTCCATTATAAAGTAAAGCTGCTTTAAGACTGTTTTTAGAGATATCGATAAAAAGACGCCATTCAGTTGGGTTATGATCTATTTTCAATTCATCAAACAGTCTCTGCACGTTATTACAATAACAAATACCTTGATCTTTCGTAAAAAATTGTACAAATGTTTCGCCTCTGTTTCGATAAACAGTTACACGGGTTGTAGGGTGTAAATAATTCCATTGCTGTAAGCGGGATGCCAATACCTCACTATCAATCTTCGACAACTTCAGATCTCTAGCTAAGTCACTTAGTTCTTTCTGTGACTGTTTATGGTTTATTTTGGCATCATAGTCGCTGCTAGATGACATATCTTCACTGTCTCCTTTACTCTGATCACTTTCACTGGATTGTATTAAACGCTCAGAAGGATTTGGTCTTGGTAAAGTTTAACTGTGCGGAATCGGCTATTTGGCTGATCTTACATTAGGATAAACCAAACTTTTCTTTGTTTTTTTGTTTATGCCGTCTAGGTTTCTGTTGCAGAAATAGCAATCGGAATCATCTGATATCTGTACATTGGAATACCAAACTGTAAATGAGATGTAGATTCACCCGCCATCCATCTATTCAAAGTTATACGGCAATTCGGCTAGGTGTCCAGGGCTTGTCTAAATTCGTCAAAGCAAACCCAAAATAATGAGAATACGCCTGTTTTATAACAGTTTTAATTGGTCGTCCCGTCATCCCAATAATGTATTGTCCGCAAATAAAACAGAACAAATCAGGATTGTTCTTGCATTCAAAACTTCTGCTGCTGCTAGCCATTATCAACAAAACTTTTACAACACTTTGCTATTTTTTTAAACGAAAGATCACTGAAGTGTCTCAAGAAGAACTAAATATTATGACAATATCTTTTCCTTTTATACCAAAAAATATTTCAAAAAAAGACTGTTTAGCAGAACAAGGTTCTAATATATAAAGAAGTGGAGTTATTAAAAACACTTCTTTTTGCGAGTTCTTAAAAACTTTTTCTAAGAATGTTACGG